TAAATTTTTATTTTAAAAAAATAAATAACAGTAAATTATTATAAAAATTAAAATTAAGTCAAATTAAAAAGAATGCATTGAAATTTATTAACAATATTTAATTCCGATAATATAATGTCCTTATTACAATACACTTTTAATAAGCAATGATCAAACAAGTAATAACGTGTGTAATTATAACTTTCGCTATGTTTTAATACACTCAAAATTTTCATATAACTCATTACCAATCAAAATTTATGGTGATAAAAAATATATAATTTTAATTTCTATTAAAATATAATAGAAATTAGTTTTACATAAAAATTTATACAAAATTGGAAAAATTCTAACAAAAAATGGAAAATATTTTTTCAAAAATTTTTAATTTCTATTAAAATATTTATACATTTAGAAAATACGTTTGAAATGTGTATTTTTTGGTGTTATGTAGTCACTATTTATTTTATTAAAAATAATTACAGGACACTATAAAATTAAATAATTCAATAAATAATAAAGTATTTAAAATTAAATAGCCATTACAAATAATACTATTAGAGATTTTTAATATCATAATCAAATATTTATGATATCTTAACTACGATATAATGTGTAAAAATTTTCTAAAATTATAAGGTAAAATGAACTAATTTATTTTATGATAATTTATAATTTAAATTTATTATTAATTTATTTTATATAATTTAACATTAATATTATAAAGTTAATAATTTAAATTTAAATCTTATTATTATCATGCATTTAAAAAAAATTATAGTTACATACCATACGTAATTATTATTCTATTATTAATAATTTAAAAATTATCTAACTTTGTTACGTTTATTTTATAATATAAATTTAAAAAATCTCTATTATAAGTTCAAACACTCAACTAAAAATATCATTAATATAGTTATTAATTTTATTTTGTTCAAATTATGCAAATTATAAAAAATATAAATTGAAAAAGAAAAAAATTATGTAAAAAATACAAATTTTAAAAATTGAAAAATTCAAAAAAACAGTCGGTTAGAGGTTCGATTCCTTTTTTTACAAAAAAAATAAAAATAAAAAAAGTCCCACATATAATAAATAAGGTTGAAACTGTCTTATCCGAATTGACTCCCACACTACTATAAAACGCCAGAAAACCAAAAGGTCCCCGCGTTTTCAAAAAGACAGCTTCTCTTTTTCCCTCTCTACAGTCCCACCGTTCGTTGTGCTCTCAGAGGTTACTTGATTACTGATTTCTCTCCGTAATCTGCACTGTTCTATTGGTTCGGTACTTTGCTTAGATGGAATTCAAGTTCCGAGCCGTCGATGATAGAAGGCGGTCGAATATCGCGGCTCCAATTGGCTTCAGTTACTTCGGCGAACAAGCAGTGCAAGGTCCGTAAGTTTTTATTCCGGAATTTTCTTTTATCTGTTTGTTTGTTTGCTGAGAAAAGTGAAGTGAAATAAAAGAAGAGCGGAATTTTGCTTTCTAAGCATTGCGCTGCTTTTTTTCCACCAATGGAACAGAATGTGCTCATCTCAATGAACCGAAATATCTGATTTGAACGCTTTGTTGCAGATGGATTGCCGAGCAATATTCCGAGAAAACTCGACCTAATGGAAAATCCTACGGTGTTTCAGCATCGGGAAGAAGTGAAACGGGAGATGGAGAAAGAGCGAATCCGCGAGGAGATCATCGCGGAAGAAGTCGCGCGGCGACGATTGCTGGAGGCAGAGGTGAGGAGAGAGATGGCGATGGAGAGAGAGATGTCAATTCGGAGAGCCGCTGAGATGAGGCTGTCTTTCGAGGATAGGCGGACAATGCTCTTCAACCCCTGGCTCCCATCAGGGTATCCGTACGAGAATGGCTGTCTCGACGAGTGGATGGCTTCTCGTACAGCCAGGCGTACGGCCGGTTTTGATATGTTGTTTCCGTCGCCGATGGTGCGGTTGTCAGAGGCCACAGGGACTGACTCAGCTGAGGTCAAGCCTCCTCCGGCGTCTAGCAAGGATAAATTGATTATGCTGGTTAGCGCTCTCATTTTCTCTCTTTTAAATCTCTAGTCGCACTTGGTGCTTTTCGACAACTAGTGGATGAATGACTTCGTAGTTCCTTCCATGTAGGTAGACAATGATAGAAAGGGTTTCCGTAACCCTGTTCATTTTAATGTTTCACTTTCATCCTTTCTGTTCGGGATTTTTTGAAATCATAAAGAAACAATACGTGTTCACCGTATGTACCGGGATTAGAATTTGTTTTCCTTACTTTTTTAATCCCCTCAGTCTCGTTCATCTATGATTGTTCTCGTTGGGTTGGATTGCTGATGAATAAATCCCTGACGTCGAAGGTGAACATCTCCTAGAAATTTTCATAACTTGACTGGTGGTCCCTTGGTGAATTGTGTCCTTTATAAGTGGTTATGCAACAGTCCGTGCAGTTTCCTAATGTTTCTCTTCATGGCATTTGTTTTCTGGTTTTGTCAGTTAGAAAATGCCACATGTCACATATACATGAGCATAAAAACAAATTGGCCATGCATCAGATCTGAGAAACTAGGAGTATCTTTAAACACGAATGCATGCAAAGTCTACTAAATATATTTGTTTGGACTCTTTTGACTGTTTTTATGCTCTTTTGAAGAATCTAAAGTTTTGTTTGGTATATGAAAACAGTTTTTAATTTTCTTTCCTCTAGATATACATGATTATACATGAATACATGGTTTGAAGTTGACTTATTGAAGCTCGTACAGAATTAGAGGAAATTTGGTGAAAAAATA